ACATTTGGCCTCTCTAGTTTATTGAAGCTCACTAAGCCTACTCGAATCAAACTTTACACCTTATACTTGAAAGCAAGGTAGGTTTCTATAAAATTACTCATGTTCCTAATATGGTAATCACATATGACATAAGCATAATACCATTTGGGATAGGGTGGCTTCAATGGTTCTAGATGAATCGGTGATACCAAGTGATTCTTAACTTAGGAATAATTTAGTGTAGGTCATAGGAATAGGATCAATGTGGGCTCTTTCTTGGTTATTTCGAGATTTTTACGAACCACTTGATTGGTTGTTATACCTCAAAACTAGTCTTGTAGTTGGTGTACAGGTTGGACTAGGCACATATGTGAAAGTTTGAAAAGTTAGTTGATAAACGAGTGGTGGTTATGGAATAGGTTGGAAAAGGACTTGTGCAATATTATTAACAGTGGGATAGTAAGCAAGATAAATAAATGATGGATATGGAGCATAACTTTTAAATTGTTGACCTTTTAAACTCACAGCTTAGGCTTCAACTTATTTTCCTTTTGGCATCATTTTTTTTTTCATATTAGTGGTCTTTCATTCCTTAAACTTGCCACTCTTGATGGTGTTTTCAATAATCTCCCCTAAGATCACTATGTTGATAAAGTTCTTCATCACATTTTCTATCATCTTTTTACAATAAGTGCCTTTAGGGTATTAACAAATAGTACCATAATCTTTATCTCAATCCAAAGTGGTTAAACTTGAGTAGCTATAACTCTCCACCTTTGGGCTACTCTTTAAATGACTCTATCACCTTCTTTTTCTATGCTTTGTAAAGAAAGATGATTAAGAGCCAAGTCTATAATGAGACGATATTATGTAATAAATGCACAAGCAATCTTTTTTTAATAGTGGACATAGATTCAGTCTAAATGAATGAACCACCTTGTAGTTGAGCTTGTAAAGCTATCTTGGAACACATACATCAATAGCTTTTCATCATTAATATAGATAGCTAGTTTCTTATAATATATAATGATGTGAGTTATTGGACACTTCATACTGTTATACTTTTCAAACTCTTAGACCTTGAATTTTGGTGGGATTACAACAATTGAGACCAAGTTAAGGCCAACTACATCCATAGAGCCATAAAAGTCTATCTCTTTAACTACTCATAACCTCTCATTTAATAGGTTCATCTTTTGTTTGGTTTTTGAATCCTTTAAAGTCTCAACTCCTTTTAACTTATATTTTTTCTTTGTAACATCTAAGTTAGGGACTAGAATTGGTTCAACTATTTTTTCTATGAAAACAAAATTAATGAATCTTTGAAACTGCCCCTGAGTTGATACGAATGACATCCTCAGATAAACATATCCTACCAAGAATATAAATTATTGTCGATGAATTTTTTGAGTGAATTGGGCCTAAGATTGACCATACTTGGAAGGATACAGGGGGCCAACAACATCTTATGATGGATGGTCTTAGAGGCTAGCATCTTTTTCTATAAATTTTCACTTAATTCAAGTTGTTCAAAGCTTCTACAATTTTATGTAACTCTCTTTCAAGCTATTATTTGACCTTTTTTATTTTTTCAAAAAGGTTTGTATTTTTTTACTCCATTTGTTTGGCTTGAGCTTAAGTATTGTACTGATAACAAGTAGGTTTAGCTGGATTCTTAGACAATTGAGTTTTCTTAAACTTTGTGTACCATAATTAGCATACTTATGTTACTAGGTGTTTATGTAAAGAAGTTTTCAATATTATCCTAACTTGCTAAGAATCCTATATACATAAATGAATGTATGCATTAAATGCTTGACACTTAACAAATTATGATGTATAAATACATGAATGTATGCATAATAATGCATGAAGGAGTAAATGCATGCATATGCTACTATTTGCCATATTATGAAGTATGAATGAATGCATATGTTAATGATGCATGCATTAAAGTATGACATATAACCATTTAATAATAAATAAAAAACTAAATAAAAGTCTTCTCATATGTCCTAACTAGGGCTATATTCTAATTATGGGTACACATGACTCTAACCTAAGGTTGGTTTCTTACATTTTCCTACATGTGGTTTAGATTCACAATGTAAAGGTTCTTAAATTGTTTCTCACATCCTTATCCATGACAAACTAGTAAAGCACCTTAATCATTACCCATTATAAGCTATAAGCGAAAAAGATTCAATTTGAGTAAGAGTATTTTGCTAACCCATATGGAGATATGAGATCTCACAAAAGCATAGGTACATTACTTTTTCCTTAAGGAAGGAGCGTGGACATAGAGCTTATGTCATAAAATGCAAGTAAAAGAAAGAATATAGCATGGTTGAAAATAAATAAAAAAAAATCTTTAAAGAAAATTTTTTATCTTATTAAGTTAGGCTTGGATAGCACCAATTCATTTACTAGCCTAACTCTCGACAATCCCAAATGGAGTCACCAAACCCTAGTGGAGTTGCTAAACTATTATAATGTATAGATCTATAAACTTATCACTAGATATGAGTTTAGGAGTCGCCACCAATATTTTTATTTAGGTATACGATTGGTCACATAATTAAATCTGTTTCATTTTAAAGAGATATCTTAAGCTTGACTTTGATATCTTTAAAAAGTAGATTCTAGTGTACGAAACTAGAATTAGGTTTGAGAATACGGTTATGTGTAAAAGATTATAGCACCCTTACAATGCCCATCCGAAAAATGGTACTTATTAATTTCATGTTATTTAAGTCTAAAAACATGTTTGTAATTTTACCAAGTAAATTTAATATTTAAAACTAATTTTAAAATTACTTCAATAATTTGGTAACAATTTAAGATAATTTTCTTACATTAAAAGTATTCATGGAGACTAGTGTCCCCTATTGAAAAAGCTCTATCTTCGATTTCATTAATATTTTTTTAAAGAAATTAATTTGTTTTAAAAATCAATAAAATCCTCTAATAGTTTAGTAAGATTTTATTTTTGAAATATATTCCCCAAAAGTTTGATGGGATTTTTACTTGAAAATTTATTTATTAAATAACTTGGTAAGATTTAACTATGAAATTTAAATCTTCCAATAGTTTGATAAGATTGATAAATTATTTTTAATAAAATTTTATTATGTAATTCTCCAATAATTTGATAAAATTCATAATTTTGAAATAAATTTTAGTCCATAAAAACCCTCTAATAGTTTGGTACAACTCATGAATTTATTTTTTAAAATATTTTTAATAAAAATTTATTTTTTTGTAAAGTGAATAAATAAATTTTAAATAAATTAATTAAGCAAATAAATAGAAGAAAGAAAAAAACTACCAAAAGAGTATTGGCTTGGCTTCAGCTTAACTTAGGCATGGCTTTAAACTGTTTTTCTGGTTGGCTAGGCTAGCAGCTTGGCTTGATGGCTCAAAGTCGACTCAACTTGGTTCACTATTCATAAGGAAAAACGACATCGTTTTTCCCAATGTATAAATTGCCCAAAAAAATTAACATGTCCTCTTTTCTTCTTCTCCCCTCTTTTCCTCTCTCTTCAGAGTGTCTCTAAAGTGCTTCTTTCCCTTAGATTTCTAGCCACTGTCACATGTCTCTGCACCACCACCGGCCACCATCGATTGGAGTTCGTTCGAGCCTAAATTTTGTCCTAAGGTTCGTCTCAGCCTCTTTGTCTAGGATCTAAGCTCCAATTTTCGAAATTGACCTTTAATGGCATAAATCTGGAAATTAAGTCACGGCCTTCCTCTGCCTTTTCAGCCTCTTCCTGTATTCGATCTCTCTAAATTTTTAGTATGTTGTTGTACACACAATTCTCTTCCTCTTCACTATTTGGATCTCCCAAAATCACATCAACCGCCATTGACCACCACAGCTGCTCCGCTTTGGTCATCATTGTTTCGATATTTTTCTTTCCTTCTGACCGTAACCTAATTTCCTTTCTTTTATTCCTTTCCAGCTTTTGGCTAATGATTGTGGTGCGCACTGTTATGATCAATGAGATACTATAGGCTCGAGTTTGGAAAAGCAAAGAGTTATTTGCTTTTTGTGTGTGGTTTTGGGTTTTCTTTGAGTCTGTGTTGGTTTTGAGTGTGATCAGGTATGGGGTTGTATTGATGGTAAGGCTAGTGAACAAAAGGTCCGGTGGCAAGTGTGTTTATGCTTGTTATTGAAGAAGCTCAAAGATAGTTATTGTGGTAAATGTGGGTTCTATTTGGCAATGGGATGGTGAGGGAGGCGACAAAATGATGACGTAATGGTGCTTTGGCAAAGGTGGTGAAATGGTTGTGGGATGGTGAGGTGGTGGTTGTTGGATTAAGCTTTCTAGCTGATTGGTTTGCTGAGATAGGAAACTAGGCTGATGGATGGAGTGTTCTTGCTCAATTGCCTTCTGGCTGATGGAAGTAAGGACAATTGTAGGCTCTGTGATGTTGGGAATGTTTCTACATCTGTTAATTGTAGTATCTTGCAGTGTGTCCCTATATTTGTGTGATCGTGTTGCTTAAATGAGGAATAAGTCTCCATGGAATCCAAGATCAAAAATGGGATTCGGTTCAATGAGACTATCCATGCATTATTTCCTTCAATTTCAACTTTAATCCCAACAACTTTATCTTTGGAGTAACATTAATCCAAAAATCCAAATTCAAACACCGTAGCTTATCATTTCACTTATCCCTCTTTTTATTATCTTTGGGAAAAATAATAATAGAAGCAAATAAAACAATTATAAAACAATGAATGGGCTTGTTTTGGGTTCAAAATCGGAGCTAAGCCCAAAATTCCAATGGTAAACTTAAAATCAAATAGGATAGTTTAAAGCTCAATTAAAACTTTAGAGCTTAGACCATTATGAATTAATATCTCGACACTAATTCGAGATTGGAAAATATTTTAAATGACACCGAACAAAATAAGGTATTTACAAAGAGTTTTGATATTTCATCAAAAAAGGAAAAACATTATTCCATTGAGATTCTCCAACGATTACATGGGATAACACTATGATTTGAACATTGAATCTATCCAAAGCATCTATGCCGTACAAGGTGGCACTTGCACCTTTAATTTGCAGTAGGAATATGTTGCTTTTTTAAACACGTTAGACTCTTCAATCTCTCATGCACGCTTGAAGTTGCAATGCCAATTCTAGGATAGATAGCCTGCAAAAATAATATGCCAATACCATCAGTGTGGAAGGGCATGCAACTATTGCATGGAATGATGGATGAAAAGATTCATTTGTGAAATACATATATACAAATATAAGATGATCCAAACTAGGTTACAATCAATTTATTGAGTAGGTGACAAAATTCCCGGTATCTCTCTTTCAATCGAAAAAATAATCATGAATGGAAACCCTAATCATATTGCACTCTTGGATATAAACCTATCAAGTGGTTTTACTTGGATATGAAAAGACTAAAAAGAATAAAAGAGCAAACATTTTGATAATAAATGAGCAAAAGCCAATTAAACTATGATAAGAAGTGTAATTGACAGCTAAGATAGGATCAAGCTAAATACATTAAAAAAAACCTTATTTTTAACCTAACCTTTATAAACACTTCAATTAATATAAGGTGTCATATACAATCAAATTAATATGCTTATCTTTGTTTTTGAGGGATATGATTATTGACTTAATTTTTTTTAAAAAGGGATATATGTACCTGAGAAAGAATTCTATAGATTGCCCTATCTCCTGCATGATGGCAAGTTGCACTTATAATTTCAGCTCCTTCTTCCTGAAGAATACTGATAAAATCAGATAATGCGAACTCCGAATTCAACCCTGTGATCAAATGTACTTCCAAGTTAGAACCCAAATCTCTTATATTAAGAACTGGGGGTACTATCATTCTGTTTCTCGTTGTACAAGCTGTAGCACTGGCAAGTTTGTCTTCCAATTGCACCTTTATTTGCTTGTATTGCTCCAATTTCTTTTGCAGCTGCTTCACATAGGCTATAGCTTGATCCACCAGCTCAGGCACCGACATCTATAACATGAATCGATGCTTCTAATTTCAAAATTCAAGCAAAAATCAGACAAATTGGGACGAAGAATCATGATGGAATTAAAGATAGAATACCTTGTTTGGTCGAGGAGGAAGGAGAGCAAATAGCTTGGAAACGAGCGATTTCATGTGCTGCCTTCGCTGTCTCTCAATTAAACATCGATTGATTCTTGAAGCTTCATTGCCATTCTCCATGACTTACTCTCCCCTCCACACTTAAGTCTCCTACTTCTACCTAGAGAAATAATAGGTGCAAGTTGGAGATCAATGATGAACACATCTATACATATAGCTTGGGTATATTCCAGATCTTCATAGATTCTCTTTTTGTTTTTTTGTTTTCTCTCTTGCTTTGTGGAAAGGGAAATAAAACGACACAAAGAACGTTTGAAAGCAACATTGGTTCACTATGTCCGGGAATAGGCTGTAGGTTCAAGGCTGCATCTTTCCTTTTCAGGTTTTCGAGGGTCGACGTGCATTATTGGTATACGTAGTTAGGTTCAACGCTGATCAATCCTTTTCAGGATTTCGAGGGTCAAGGTGCAATATTGGTATACTTAACTAGAACAATTAACAATACGGTATACTGAAATTGATTTAATCAAATATATGAAGTAGAAGCATTTTGTCAAATCACAATTTAAAATTATATAATTATTTAAATGTGGATTTTATATAAAATTTTGATTTATTTAACATAATTTTGAATTATTATTAACCAATTATAATATAATGATTATAGATAATCTATTCTCATCATCTAAGATTGTGTCCTAAATCATCATACATATAGAGATATTAATTGTTTGTAAAACCAAATCAGATTTGGTTGAATCTTGTTTTTTCAATATTCATAAAATTAATTAATTAAGAGGTTTTTTTTTTTTTGTTTTATAGAGCTACCAAATGAATTTATATTTAATAAAATCTTTTATAAATTTCGGTAAAATTTTTTCTTTCAACAATGACCCACCACGAAATAAACTTACCTTAATGACGAAGCAAGCCGATGAGAGAGGACTATGAGAACCGGAGTGGGGACGACAGAATTGAAAGTGATTAAATATTGCAATCGGTTTGATAACTTGAAAATAACATCATGCTTATACCAAAACTTCTCCGGACCGTCCAAAATATTTAGTTAAAAAAAATTAATTATCCCTTCATATTTTATTTACAAATTAAGTAAAAACTATCGATACATGAATTATGAAGATTCAAATTTAACTTGTAAGGTATTATTTATTTTGATTTAAAAATCTCATAATTTTATCTTATAAAAAAAATTTTTCAAGTATGAATTTAAGTTTCAATTTATTTATTATAATAGATCCTTAAAATATCATGATGTAAGATTGGAGCCTTCACAAACTCCCCGTTAAAACTTGGCATCTCATTCAAACTTAACATAAAGTACACATAGAATCATAGAATCAAGATTATACCAGATGTCAAAAATTTAAAAGTGACTCTTATCGTGTAGCACTTAGCTCCTTTGATATTTTAAAAGTTACTTCCACAATATAGTGCTTAGCTCCCATTTAATAGGTAGCTATTCTGATATTATTTCTAGAGAATCGTAATCAACTTATGAGATATTATTTATTTTAACTGAAAAATCTTACAATTTTATCTCACAAAAAATACTTTATAGGTATAAGTTTAAGTCTCAACCTATATATCATAATCTGATTCTCAAAATATTTCAATGTAAAATTAAGATGTCATATGAATAACATCAAACTATAAATACACAATGTTTACTCCAATTGATAATATAAAATTAATAACATAATTACTTTTAAAATATGACATTCGATAAATTTGATATTCAAATTTTAACACCTATAATTTTTTTTTATTTTGATACTGCAATTCTTTTGTTAAAAAAAATCAAAGTATGAATAATAAAAATAATAAAAAAAAAGAATAAATTTTTTATTTATTGTTTTTGGTTAAGTGGGAGGGGAGAGAGAATAGAGGGGAAGATAAATAGCATTTTCAAAGAACAGTATCCATATGTCAACCACAACAATGCTTTACATGAATCAACTTAATTATAAGTCATGAGAAAAACGAATCAGTGAACATAATACTCTTTCGGTGACATTTATTGGTCACATCTTGACCAAAGACGGATTTTTTTTCGGAGATAAAGCATTACGGAAAAGCTTTTGCTTAGCTGCATGTGCAAAAGTGTTGAAATTTTACAGATATCAAGAAGTATATATCTCATCCTAATAGTAACATTATTGGAAAATAAATTTGATGCCAATTTTTAAATTAAGAATGAAATTAGCTTTAGTTACATTTTACAAAGTTTTTCTCCTTAAACCATGCGAGGTTTTTTTTAATCTTTTATTACAATCGACAATGCTACCTAAGCAAAACAAAAGCAATGCCATTAGCATCAAGCTAATGACAAAGATTCCCAGTTCTTTAGGAGGATTATCAAGAGCATATATACTTAATTTTGCTGGAAAATTAACTGACCAAGTTTTCAACTATGACAAGTTTCTTCATAAAAAAACTATGAGACAATTCATCAATGTACTTGGACAATTCTGTATAAAGAGTTTGAAAATTCCTAAAACGAAAGCCAATCAAAAGGTGTTCGCGTCCAGGAATTAATATGGGGGTTAGGAAAATCTCGTACCTAGTTTTTATGAAAAGCGAAATTGACTTTAATGCAACAAAACTTCATGTGCCATCTTAATTATAAGGATAATGCTACATGCACTAAAGTATTTCACTCATATATTCATTTTTATTTTAAGAAAAATACTAAAATCGTTGAAGGCTATAATAGAATTTTGTGAGCATGTAAAACATGTGTATTAAATAAGTGTGTATATAATCTTTTGCTAATTATAAATGAAGTCTCATTATTTACAATGTATTTTTTCCTTCTAAGGCATTAGATTTAAAGGGGTGATATATGTTGGGATTTGTCTTAAATCTTAAAATCTTACATCGAAAGTTATAAGAGTTTTAAGTTTGTCTTATATCCCACATCGAGAGTTTAGTAAAGGTATAAGGGGTTTCACCCTTATAAATAAGATGTTTTAGTTTTGGTTTGATAATCCTAAAGAGTTAGACACCAAAAGAATAGCTAAGTGAGTAGACTATTAAAATGGTATAATTGGATTTTGGGTTAAGTTTTGAGTAAGGAGTTTTTGGAGACTTTTTTCATTCTCAAAAGTCTCATAGTTATAAAGATTTATTTGTTAGTGGATTGAATTGGGAGTAGGCCATTTTGAGTTGAGTTGAACCGAATATTTTGTATGTTTTTATTCTTGATTTGAGTTTGCTATTTTGTATTGGGTTTAACGTATGGTGTTGATTTCCTAACAAGTGGTATTAGAGTTGTGGTGATCCTCAATAAATGATTTCAGAGCGAGGTTTGAAGTTTAAAGTTCGTGGGCCTAAGAGATCATGAAGCAGTGTTTCAAGATGTCTGAAGAAAGTATGTCTAGTATGCCTATGTCTAAGTTTGAGATTTCGTTATTTGATGAAAAAAGTAATTTCATGTTATGACAAAGTACAATTCAAGATCTGTTAGTACAACAAGGGTTGGATCAGACATTAAAGAGTAGTAAGCCTGAGGGAATGTCTGAAGTTAATTGGAATAAGATTCAGAAGAAAGCTGTTAGTACTATTAGATTGGCGCTAGCTCTAGAGGTAAAATATAATGTGTTGATTGAGAGTACTTTGAAAAGTTTGTGGGATAAGCTTGAGGGTATTTATGCATCAAAGTCGTTGACTAACAGATTATTTTTAAAGATGAATCTGTATTCTTTAAAAATGAAAGAAGGTACGAGTTTTCACAATCACCTGAATTAATTTAATATATTGGTTTTTTAATTGTTAGCAATTTTTGTTGATGAATTAAAAAATGAAGAGAAGGCTTTAATTTTGTTGTCATCTTTACTCAAGTCTTATAGGCTTTTTGTTTAAACTTTATTGGTGAGTAGGTCACATTGAAGTTGGATGATGTGACTACCTTGTTGCGTGAAAATGAAAGGTTTATGGGAGCTCAAAACTAATCACTTGGAGGAAGTACACTAGCTGTAGAGGGTTTTGATTGAGGAAAGACTCAAAAGAGAATTGATGGATCAAGAGGGAAATCCAAGTCAAGAGATAGAGATTATAGTAATATAGAATATTATTATTGTGGTGAAAAAAGACATATCCAAGTGTGTTGTAGGAAGTTGAGATGGGATATGGCTACTTTCAAAAGGACAAATGATGAGAAAAATCAAATGAAGAAAAGAATGATACTACTGTCGTCATATCTAATGATGATGATGTTGTTTTGACAACTCGTGTGGATGAGACTCAAACTTTAAAAGGTGATAAAAGTTGGTTTTAGATTCAGCTGCTACAGTTCATGTTTGCAATGATAAGAGTTACTTTGTGGAGTTGGATGAGAATGAGAAGTATGGAGATATTGTTGTTGCTAACAAAAAAAAGGTGTAGATTCAAGGCATTGGGAGTGTTCGCCTTAGATCTCACAATGGTGTTATTAGGACTTCATCATGTAAGCATGTACGGAGTTGTAGCTACAATTTAATTACTTTAGGTGAGTCAGCTTCTTAGGGGTACATATACTATAGTAGTAATGATTCGTTGAAAGTGTACAAGAATGGTAGTATAATTCTACAAGGGAATAGGATCAAAAATCACTTGTACATGCTTGATGGAGGCTCAGTTATTGGGATCCCTGTGATGAAAAAAAAGAAGAAAGGTAAGCATATTAGCTTTGTAGATACTGTTGAAGTGTTTGAAGATTCAAGTCAATGGAGGATTTGTTGGGATCTGCCTCGAATCTCAAAATCCCACATCGAAAGTTATAAGAGTTTTGAGTTTGTCTTGTATCTCACATCGAAAGTTTAGTAAAGGTATAAGGAGTTTCACCCCTATAAATAAGATGTTTTGATTTTGGTTTGATAATCTTAGAAAGTTAGACACCAAAAGAATAGCTAAGTGAGTAGGCTATTAAAAGGGTGTAATTGAGTTTTGGGTTAAGTTTTGAGTAAAAAGTTTTTAGAGACTTTTCTTATTCTAAAAGTCTCACAGTTGTAAAGATTTATTTATTAGTAGATTGGGTTTAAAGTAGGCCATTTTGAGTTGAGTCGAACCAAATATATTTGTGTGTTTTTATTCTTGATTTAAGCTTACTATTTTGTGTCTAAGTTCTGCATATGGTATTGATTTACTAACAAATGGTATCAGAGTTGTGGTGATCTTTAACAATATAAAAG